GTCTTCTTTTGGCTTAATAAATGACTTGAGCAAGTAGAGAACATTAAAAAAAAATCATACTATTAATCTCATATCTACATTCAGAACTGGGTCATACATTTGACCTACCTAAAAGCGGGTCTCTTAAAAAATAGAATGTGTCAACCTAAATATTTAAAGGTCTCATTAAGGATGCTGTTTTGAGGCTTTATAATCTTTTACATCTAGTCCTTCAAAAAATCTTTTATCTTACCTTTTGCTATTCCTCCAGAAGCACCAGGGCCAGCAATAAAGGGAAAAGATGCAACAAAAAAATAACCTAAGAGGAGAAAAGGTACTCATTTTGCTTTGATGATGTATTTCTGGGATTCTTATAAAGCAAAAAATAGTTTCCCATTCTCTCATCCCCTCTCTCTCTCTCTCTCTGCCTCTCTCGCTCTTCCTCCACTTTCCCTCTTTCCCTTCCTTTCACTGCTTTCTTTCTAGAAGACAAACTTTAAGTGGTTTTTCCATTTCTAAGCTTCTTATCTGAACTAATAGAATCAGTTATGGACCAGCACTGGCATACAGAAATGATTGAATAATGAATGGATGATGGCCTAAGGAACGATGAATAGAGTTAATGAGAATTGAATATTCTATGCAAGGGTTTTCCTATACCAATAATAATCTATATAATAAGTAGGAGCCCATTTGTATTGTCTTTTATTTGGGTAATTAAAAAGCAGCATCTGTTTATATGCTCATCAATCCATATAAAGACAGGTGAGATTATAATGTCATATATTGAAAAAATAAAAAAAATAAAATTTAAATATCATACAAAAACATACTGTTGTGTAGTGATCATCACTGAAAAATGAAAGGGAGTTATAGATCATTCTAAAATTAAAGTAATAATCCTCATTACATAACTCAATTATTGGACGATTTGTATTATGCTTACCTCAAAATGCAGTAAGACATTTAAAGAAAAATTTGGCTCTAAATGGAATTTTTACTACCAAACATACATGTATTAGATTTAATCAATATTTACCTTTCTGAAATAAGAGAAAGGCCTGAGGCTTATTTTAGAAATAAATAAAACTATTGTTTATTTGTTTCCTCAGTGGCCCCCTCTGTTTCCAGCTGTGGCTGTCCGTAATCAATCTTTCACTTCACATAGGTCTTTTTATTCGTTTACTTGCTTTGGAGCCATACTCAGAGTATATCCCCAGTCAGGTGGCATTGTTGTGGTTTTCCTCTTTCAAAAGTAGATGAACTCTTCCAAAGGTTATATTCTCTCATGCAACCAAGAAATCTTCCTGCTCAAGACTGTACACTGCTATTTCCTTTCATTTCAGGCATTCCTACTCAACCCCCAAGTACTGGCTTATCCCATTTTGACTAAATTCTTGTTCCAAAATTATTCATCTTTCTAATGACCTACCTGTTGCTTTTTTTTCCCCACAGGAAGCAAGGAGGAAGCAATTTTGGTATCACCAACTATATACTTCACATCAACACACTAAAAAATTACAGAGCATCGTGTCTGTTCAGGATACTGTTTTTTTAACTGGTGAGCTCCTCTTCTACCATTCTCCTCACAGGTATTCCTGAGACATAGTTCTGTTGGAGCACAGACAATGGCAAAGAAAGACCATGGAATTAGTGACCCAAATGCTCTGCTTTGGTTTTTATATAGCGATTTAGATCTAAGTGCTTCTGATATTTCATCATTTCTCCTAACGAGTAATTCAGGCCTATTTCTTCCTAAAGCAGAAGATATGGAATATTCAGATAAACAAATGGATAGATATTCCTTCTAAGTATTTAATGGATCGGTCTTTGTCAGGACAAGTAAGATAGAGTAGCTACTATAAAGATGGCTACTTAAGATGCATAAAACTATTTTAACCCTTTATGTGTGCTCATTTCTTATATATTTTCAACTTGTACCCGACAAACTGTCTTAAAGCACTGCCCCAATTCAGGGTGCTTCGAACTGCTTCAGTTCTATACGTTCAGTGATGGGTACCCAGTTATGGGTACAGAAGCTTCCTAATCACTAATTGTCCAGGGCTCTACCCTCCTCTTTTTGGGATTATGGATGTTTTAAGGGTGTGGAGTAGATATGGAGGGAATGCCCATGTACAAGCATTAGTTGGGGCCAATCAGAGCCCTCTGGCACAGATAGGGGTCATTGGTGAGATGGCCTTTAAGACCTCCATTAATGCCTTTTGTGGTTAGGATGACTATACATCCTAGTTTACCTAAGATATTCTAGTTTATGCTATTGTCCCTATTGTTCTAATGTAATTGGTGCCCTTTTCACTCTCAAGTGTCCCAGTTTGGGCAATAAATTATATGGTAACCCTGTTTATCACAGAGCTTTACCGAATGTACCTACTTTGGCAGCTTTTGTTTTATGGGCTCTCTGGACCTGTTCTCCTCCCCACCCTATGATTAAACTTCCAGCCTCCTCTCCTGACTAACCCCAAGTCTTTTCATCCCCAGGAATTCTTTCCCTCCTCCCTTTTTCATACCTGGAAAGCTTCTCTCCTTCAAAGCCACCCTCTATCTCCTGTTCCTTCATTTTTTTTTTCACAATAAACTTTAGACCCAGACACTGCAACTATTTTATCTCCACAGATGGTCAGCACACACTGGACATTAAATATTTTTTAATGCTGCCATACTAGTCATTAAATATTTTTTTAAAACAACCCCCCCCCCCCCCCCGATCTAGAAGCCATCAACAAAGGCATCTTTCAGACTTACTAAACCAGTCTATCATAGCAGAGAGGGCCCAGACAGGTTTCTCATATACGGTGGGCACTGAGTAGTCCTGCACCTTGAATGCCATCACTTAATTCTTACAATCCCAAAGAGGCAACACAGTAAAACATTTAGGAGCACAAGATTTTGAAAATAATCTACTACTAAGGTTTAAATCCAGGTTCCAACACTTACTAATCTTTGAAAAGTTATTTTAGATCTCTGTGCTTCAATTTCCTCTGTAAAATATGATAAACAGTACTTCTCTTCCTGCCTATGGTAAATATCAAGCAAGTTAGTAAATGTAAAGCACCGAGATCAGTGCCTAGCACAGTCACTGCTTTTAAGATATTATCGGCTAGTGGTGATGCTGAGATCTACACCCAGGTTTTCTAAATCTAAACTCCATGCTTTCTGTGACACCACTACCACTCAAATGCTCTCCCACATATAACAAAAAGCAGTACGAGGCCAATGAAAGATATGGAAGTACTTTATTTTGTGACACCATATAACAGCCAGATTTACATACGTCTAACCACAGTGTGTAGTAGATCTGAATAGGGAAGATGGCTCAGAAATAGCAGTATTTGTAATTCAAGTATTGACCTTTCTTTGATAAAGGAAAACAGTTTTGTGGACGGATTGATTTTGAAATGCAATTTTATACAGTTGTTTTCTTAAAAGAACACTTTTGAACCAAATATAAACAAGGTACAGTTTATTCACGTAATGAACCTGCAGTTGAAAACAAGCTTAAAATTTCCCATCTCAGCCCATTTTTCTCTTTTCAGCACTGCAAATGCTTCCTTCCGTCATCATGCTGAATTCCTCAGCATCTTCCATACCATTCCCAAGGGAATCCCTGGGAAGTAGTGCATGTCTGTATTCCTTCAGAAGGACACAGATAACCTGGAATTTTTCTTACCACATTTCCAATATTCCTGTAACTTACACTTCCTGCTCTTTTGAAATATGCTTCTTTTTGGCCCACCAGAAAAAACATAACACTAGGACTCTGAAAACCTAGATTTTGGACATGGCTATGTCATAAACTAGAGAATAAGCCTAAATAGGTCATGAAACCTCCCCAGCTCTCTGTTCTTAATTGCAAAAAACAAGTCCTATTTGTCCAGTCCTTTATTGTTATTTATGTTCACGGTAATCATTAGAGTTAAATAAGGCAGCATTTTGTTCATTGTTTAGAGAAAATTCAGTCTCCAAGAGGCTACACAATCTACCCAAGATCCCACGGGTGGTAATATGACAGAGCTAAACTTACATAACCTCACTCAAGACCCTAGTGCCAATACACACCGTACTCATAAGTTAGTTCAATTGACGAAGCAGCAATTTCCCAGGTCCCTTCCAATAATCACATTTCACGCTTCTTGCAATTTTTTCTCTCTTCCTTCAACCAGCATTTAAATGAGAAAACATACATATAATTCATCACCAAATTTCATTTACCATGGTTCTTTGATTTAACCATTCTTCACAATTTTCTTGTTATTTCTCTATTAAATCCAGAGAAGTTACTTTTCCAGACAGCTCTCACGACTGCCTGCTTCTCTGAAAGCTTCTGGATTTACCCGTTTGTCAAAACAGAGACTGCTAAAATTTCATAAATATCAATTCCTTTTCATAATTTTAAGAAGTTATTCCATACATAAAACCAATTCAAAACAAGAGAAGTCCTCACTGTTATTCCCTATAATAATAAAAATGTACTTTCTATTGATTTTGTGTCCACTTTCCTGTCTGCTTTCATTTGGGAAATACTGTTATCCTACCTCACTGTCAAGTCTCCCTTACCCTAACAATATAGTCACAAAAGGTAGGAAAACTCTTACTTTCACAATTCCATAGGAAGAATAAATTAATCACCTAAATTGGATGGCAAAACTTTGAATGTTAAATGAGGGAGATACAGGATATTTCCCAAGAGATCATATGATCAATTTAAAAGCTGATGATATGATGTGCTAAAATTACACGTTAACTTTTTTATTTATAATAAATGTATACATGTGATTAGTCCTGCTGATATTACACACGAACATATGCCTAAACCGAATTAAACTTTACAAGAAAACAAAATTCATTCTACCAGCAATCCTGAAAATTCAGCAGAGCTCAATAAATAGTATGCTCTCCCAAGGAGGGAGCTTTAAACATTCAGTAATTTGAAACTAAATGAGAAACTAAACAGGGCATGGGTTTGGGGAATACATATAGGAAAAGTAATTTCAACATTTTCTTCATTTTGATGGTATTGCTTTCTTGTCTTCAGGAGGGATGATTTTGACTTCAAAAGTAACAAAATATTTGAGAAGGGATTTTACATCTTTCTGTTCTAGACAGTATTCTTCTGCTATTTTCTCAGCAGTCCACGTTTCTGGATAAAGTTTATGATTATTGAGAAGTGTCAATGCCTCTACAATGGAAATTTTGCCTTTGGGAATGTTCTTAATACTCATCATGTTAAAGTCTTGGCCTTTTACCAATCTGAACTCCTTTGGCTCTTGACGTTTTCCAGCATCTGTTACCTAGTATCAAAAAACAAAAACAAAGGGCTTTCAAGATGAGAGAAAAGATGTGACATCTACTTTCATGCTTCTCAAATCTCCACTATTCTTCAAATAAATGCTACAGATGCTTCTCCAAACTAGGCTTTCTCATTACAATGACCCACACATTCAACGGCACTTTTGCAAATCACTATTTTATAACTACAGCTCAATCATCATTAAGAAATCTAGGTAGTTCTACAAAATAACAATCAATTGCCTACCATCCACTCATCACATTATTTCATGCATATTAAAATAACAAAAATGAATTGATTAGATTAAATCTGTTTTAGGAGGGCAGAATTCTGATGCTGCCCTAATAACTTACTTGATAATCTCCATTCTGTTTCCTAGTTTTTTATTTCATATTCAATACCTCCAAACACCTTAAATGAATTCAAATATGCTAGGGATTTTGCCTCTTGAGAGAAAATAAACTAATACACAAACATAATAAAAAAAACCCAACCTATGTACACCCATCTTTCCATCTGTCTGTCCCATCCAAGTATAATCTTTGTGCTGTGCCCTGTATTTCATTCATTACTTGGCCTTGCCAATCATTCCCTTTTCCTTTTTCTTTCAATTGTACCCTGCCTAATGCTGCTGTTTGGTCAAAATATAAAAATGCCCACCAAACCCAGAACAACACTTTGTTTATGGCCAGTTTCGTTTTCTCTAGTTAAGCTTTAAAGATGGTATTCGTGATCTCTGATCCAGGATTAGATTAGATCTTAATGCAGAAGACACTTTTCAGGCTTCAAGTATACTCACTATAGATCTGATGCCATTGACCATAATAACCTTCCCCTTGGTTTCCATGCCACTCCTTTTCCTAGTTTTCCATCTGTCTCTCTAGTGGGTCCTTTGTTCTTGTGGACTTTTTCCTCTTCAGCTGCCCCCTGAAGGTTAGTGTGCTCCCAGTTCTGGCCCAAGCCCTCTTTTCAGTCTTCACATTCTACTACAGTAATCCCCCACACACCCTAGACTTCCATTATTACTTATGTGTTAATAATTTCCAAGCTGATCTCAAACCTAGACCTTTCTCCTTACTTACAGATCCAAATTCCCAAATGTGTAAAGGGCATCTTTACTTGGATTATCTACAAGCACCTCAAAATCAGTATGTCTAAAACTGAAATTACCCCTTTCCTCTGAAAATCCAATTCTATCCCATATTTTCTATCTCAGTGACCAATATCACTTCCCTCTGTATCTCATTCCAAAACTTAAAGCGTTTGTTATGTCATATTATACCTGACATCTCCCTCTCCCTCATGCATTACATCCAATCAATGACCAAATCCTGTTGATAATGACTTCTAAGTCCCTCTTGAACACATTCACTTCTCTCCTGGTCACTACATCACCCTAGTTCAAGCCAAAGTCTCCTGTGGGCACTACTACAAAAGCCTCCGGACTGGTCTCCTTTGATTAGATAAAATGCATTTTATTCCCTTCCAGCCCATTATGAAGCCAATCAGGTAAGAAACTCTTCAATGACATTCCACTGTCCTCAAGATAAAACCCAAATTTCTTAGCAAGACAAATAAGGATCTTCATGATTGGGTCCCTATTACCTCCATCCTATCTCAATTCTCCCAAATTTATTGCTCACACTTTCCCCTGACTGTAATGAAGTCTAACTGGTTCCGGAAGGCATAATACTCTTCTACCTCTATATTGTAACTCTGGCCTGAAATATTCATCCAAACTTCTTCACTTTCCAAAATTCAAAGCTTCTCTTATCTTTCTTAACTTTCTCTTAACTTTCCCAGGTAATCCTTCTTCCACTCGATATACATTTTTATTCAATTTCCCTTCTGTTTAATATTAAATACTAAATTTTATGACACTGAAACAGTATCTGAAAATTCAACATCCTCTCTTGATTAAAAGAAAAAACAAAGCAAACAAAAAACTCTGAGCAAATTAACAATAAAAAAGTCCCAAATGTGAAAAAAGTATTTTTAATCAGAAACCATATCACTTTATTATAATTAAGGCTGAAACATTAAAGACATCCTATTTAAGGAAACAGCAGGATAGAATACCAATTTTCACTGCTATGTTAATGCTACAAACACAATAAATGTAGTAGTACATGTTATGAGAAAACTAATTCTATGCTGATATGAGAGAATCTTCAGAAAAATAATACAACAAACCGAAAAACTAATAGAAATAACCTTGCAATGTGGGTAGCTGTAATACAAAAATCACTCACTTTCTGCAAATTAGCAATAGTTAAAAACCTTAGGGTGAAACAAGATCCTATGGTAGCAACCTTCCCTCTATCCCCCCAAAGCTGAGTAATACAAAGATGTTAATTCTCAAATTAACCTGTACATTCCAATTCAATTACACTAAAAATCCAAATCAGACTTACTAAAGAACCTGACCATTTGATTCTCAAGTTCATCTGGAAAAAAGTGTGACAAGAGTCATGAAACTTTTGGGGAGTAGTGTGGGATAGAAGGTTGTAACAGATATCAAGACACATTACAAACTTCCATTAATTAATATAGTATGATCCTAGTATCGAAATAGAAAAGCAGGTAGAACTGATGAATCCATAAACAGACTTGCATATATTAGTATTTTAAGCGAGTGGAGAAAAGACCTGGCTATTCAATAAATTATATTTAGACAACTGGCCATCCAGTTGAAAAGATCTCCACACACCACTGTAATCTTTATGTAAAATAAAGATTTTAACAGAAAATATACAGTCATAACAGCAGGATAAACTGCTTTTATGTTGGAGTGAGTCCAGACTTCCAATACCACGAAAAACAAAAAGACTAACATATTTGACAGAATTTTGAATAGCAATATTAAGTTAAAAAGCCAGACAAAAGGGGCGCCTGGGTGGCTCAGTTGGTTCAGCATCCAACTTCAGCTCAAGTCACAGTCTCACGGTTCATGAGTTCAAACCCCGCAACATGCTAACTGCTGTCAACACAGAGTCTGCTTTGGATTCTCTGTCCCTCCCTGGCTTGTACAGGTGCGTGCACTGGCATGTGCTGTCTCTCTCAAAAATAAACCCAAAAAAGTCACCGGGCGCTGGGGTGGCTCAGTTGGTTAAGCATCTGACTTCAGCTCAGGTCATGATCCCACAGTTCTTGAGCCCCACATCAGGCTCTGTGCTGACGGCTCACAGCCTGGAGCTTGCTTCAGATTCTGTGTCTCCCTCTCTCTCTGCCCCTTCCCTGCTTGCACTATCTCTCTTCCTTAAAATAAATAAACATTAAAAAAAAATTTTTTTAAATAAACAAAATTGATATATACACAGTATCACTAATGTCTATAAACATCACAAATCGTTAAGAAAACTATGAATTACCCAAAAGAGAAAAAGGGGCAAAACATAAATAGGTACTTCAACCTGTTTTTCATTGTCATTCGAGTCTTTTTAGACTTTTCCCCCAAATTTTAATACGACCATATATCTCCTTGTGTATTGTATCTATGTAACTGTATTCATAAAAACTTAAATTTTTTTCACTCCCCAAGGGCCAGTTTTTTAATGCATGATTTAGTATAGCATGAGAGAAACAGCAGTCAGAAGTATTATTCAACACCTGTTATTGTTGGAAGTATTTAACACACAAAAAATGAACATCAACCCTTCCATCTTTTTTACGGGAACATCTGGTGATAAATGAGCCCTATAATTGCTATTACATGCAACAATTCACAAACCTTATTTTACATCAGTTTTATTTTGCTTATCTAATGAAAATTACATTAATAAGTGTATCTGTGCAAACAGTATTACCAATCTAAACAGAGAGGACCAGAGAATTTTCGAATGGAAAAATAGCTGGGAGTTGTCATTGGCACTTTCCTCTCCTTTAATCCCACTCTTCCCCCTACTGATATCCTTCCTGCCCCAACAAACTCATCTAGTTAACTCAGGTTCATCCCTCAGGCCTGAGCTTAAATGTCCCTTTCTCAGAAACCACCCTTGGTTGTCCAATCACAAACAGGTCCCTCTGTAGACTCACAGTGACTATACTTCTCTGTCACAGTCGTATCAGTAATTATGTACTTATGGTTGCTCATCTGTTTAATGTCTGTGTCCCTCACAATATTAAAAGCACTGAGAGCAAGGACTAAGTCTGTTTTGTTCATATATATACAAAGCACTTGTGCACTGTATTTATATATAGATCTTACATATAGGTTCCCATTCCCAATGTATTCCATAAGCTCCCAATTTTTACGTTTCCTATCTGAATATATCTTTAAAAAACAAAACACCAACAACACAACACTAAAGGAATCCCTGAGATTGGGACAAAACTCAACCCACTTAAAGATGAGAAAATAGTATTAAAACTCTCCTCTTCAAATGACAATCACTGGAAGTACCTTACAAAATCCTACAAATTGTGAAATAATACCCCCACTGAGCTTAAGTTTTGCCAATGCCCTGTACACTGGTCACAACTACATTGACAGTTTTAAACAGGCAGAGCGCTCACTCTCTTTCACTACCTACCACACTTCTCTTGTTCGTTTCCCTGGAACACAAAAAGGTTCAATTACTTACCTGCTGAATTAAAACACACATTACCTTCACAGAAGACACAGGATCTTTGGAATCAACATACACATCTCTTAGGAAGGACAGCAGTTTGTCATCTTTTCTAGCAACTTCGCCCTTAATTTCTGGATGGTCTAAGAAAAAGAATGTCACGATATTAAACCCAAAGAAAATTCCCTCTAAGATCCTAACATTTAACACAAGGCAGCCACTTTTAATTTTTTGCTTAATGAACAATCACTCGGACAATATAGGAAATATTGTACATGTAAATCAAAATGCTAGGTCAGGCCCGGCGTCCACCGTTCTGTGAAGACCCCTAGAGAGCACTTCCGAGGAACTTCGGACTCGGATTCCGGACCTCAAGCATTAAAGGTAAAAGCCTCCGAGGGCCAGTACGGCCTGGGTAGCGGCCGCCACCTCCGCAACTTCGAAATGGGCGGAGCCGCCACTCCACCGAGGGCGCAATGGGACAGTCTCAATGTCACCGGCCTGGGAGATTCACCTTACCGCGCTCGGCTGACAAGTCACTGCGGCCAACCCCGGTCACCCCCGCCACTGGACCAAGATCCACGGGCGTGGAACCCCCAAGCCCGCCCCGGGACCCCGCGCACGGAGTCCAAACGCCCCCTTGCACCACTTACGGCTCAACTGCTCTCGCAGCAGGCTCTTAGTGGAGGGGTGCCTGGGAGCGGGAGAGGGCTTCATTTTGCTGATTTCCCGTTCCGCCCGGTTCTCTAGGTTGAAATTCCTGATTGCGCGAGACACAGCAGCCCCCATCTTCTCACAACATGATGCGCTCTGGGTTCACACCACACGTGGGAAGTCGCCGGCACCGGCGCCCTCCTGGACGCATCGAGCATGCGCACGCGTAGGGTCGATCCGGCCCATTGCCGAAAAATGGGCGCCAAAGCGCGCCCTTCGCCCCCTAGCGGCCGGGAGGGCTCACGCCGCGTCTCCGCCCTGAGCGTGTCATAGCGAGCGCCTCCCTTCGGGATGAGAGGCTTGCGACCGCCTTTGGCTACTTCCGGGGGGAGGGGCCTCGGGAGGGGCCCCCAGCCTAAGCTGAGACCCACGTCTGTTCTCAACCCTGCAAGTTCGGAAGTCGGGAGAGAAGCTTTAAAACCGTACCTGGCCTGACCTCCCCCCAGACTTTCTGATTTAATTCTAATGACCGGCGTTGGTTCAAGCTTTCCACGTGATTTCAAAGTTGCAGGCTGAGTAGAGAATCAAAGTGGTAAGGAAATCGAAGACCTTGACGTCCTTTCACAGGTCAGGGCCGCTGAAGGAAGCCGATAAAAATCGAACTGACTGCACCAGGATAAAGGAAGGTCCTAAAATCGCCCTTTCCTGTTTTCTGTGAGGAAAATAATGAAAGTGTATTCTTTCAGGGCACCTGGCTTGGCTGGGTAGATGAAGCCTGCAACTCTTGAACTCGAGGCCCACCTTGGATGTAGAGATTACTTTAAAACATTGTTTAAAAATCTTAAAAAAAAAAAAAAAAAAGAAAAAGAAAAAGCAGTTTGATTTGCTTGTATCCGTTTCAGTCCTGCTGTCCTTTCTCTTTTGTTTATTTTTGATACTAATGTGTGTTATTTATGTATACTATTAAGTTCTGTGTCACCACGTCATTCCCTAACTTCTTTCTCTTTTAAAGCCAGAGAAACTTCCCTGTAACTTAGTGAAAGGAATAGCCAGTAAGACGTTAGGAAAAAAAACACCAGTATTGTTACATACTCTCTCTTCCTGCCTCCCCCCCTCCCCACTCCCCATTTGTAAACCTTATTATGTTGCTCCTTCTACTTGAGATTCTTTAGAAATATTTTCATATATATATATATATATGTATATATATAATAAATATATATATGTATACATATATACATACATACACATATAGGCAAAGGTATATGTATACATATATATAGTCATTAATCCATAAAAGATAAAAGGGACCCACTAGGAAGTAGCAGGGTTTCCAAAGTTACCATATTTTTATAGACTGGTTGTAATGTTTTTAGTGTCCTTATCTCTCAGCAAAATGAAGGTGGTTGTTTTTGACCAGTTAAAAGCAAGGGAAAGAATTGATGTAAAGAGAATTGAATCGAAGTAATTAAAAAAAAAAAAAAGAATCAAAGAAAGGGGCATTTTTATTTAAATAAAACTAATGGTTTATGTATTAAATTATTAAATTTAATACTTAATTATAAGAAAAGTACTGCAAGGAACATAGCTTCCACCATTGATTATCACGAAATCTGTTTTTACTGGGATTGGTCTTTGACATTGATATAAAGCCAGCTTTTTCTTCTAGAGTTAGTTGGGAAGTTATCCTGCAGGTGGCAGTCTGCTCCAAGATTTCCATCTTTGAGACTGGGCATGCCTAGAACTCCATGCTTTATAGCCTAGATACTCGAATTTCTTTGTGTGCCAAGAAACTTTCATCTGCCTCATTATGTCCACGAGCTTCATCAGTTAATGGTAGCATGTTATACTCACTGCTTATTAAAATATTTTAAAAGTAAATAACTCATTTTCGTAGAAATTTTACCATACTTCTAGTAGCACATTAGATATACTTCTAGGAGCATAAAAGTAACGTGGGACAGAAGTTACAGGAAGTGTAAGGGGTTGTGGAGATAACTAAATGAAAGGATTCTTTGAATTCCCACAGGTAGATAGAGTTTGGATCCAGTGTTTCAGAAACCTCCAACCTCCAGCTACTTGCCTGGTCCTGGTCTGGTGCTGCTCGAGCCCTTGGAGCAGAACTGGAGCAGAGGTACTCCCATCAGAAATGCACAATTGACTGTCATCGTTTGGGAATCATCATGGAAATAAAGCCTAAGTCATAAATGCATAATTCTAGCTCTTCTTGTCAAAAGAAGCATAGTAACGGGAAGTCTGGGCTCAGAACCCTTCCAGTTTCTGTAAAGGGATGCAGTCAGGTCCCCAAGGAAAGGATAACCAGGATACTGCTCAGAATTAATCATATCTCTGAACAGAATGTTATGATGGGTATTTATTACTAAATATCTTAACATACTAATGAAATAAACCCAGGGTCTTGCCAACACAATAGTATATAAATTCTATGAGGACAGAAATTTGTGTCTATTTTGTTTATTGCTATATTCATCACCTTGAACAGTGCCTGGCACATAGTAGGTACTAAACAAATGTCAAATAAATATCAAATAAACCCAAAGGCAAGTAGGGCCCCTGTGCTGGAGTCCAGACCCTAGACAGGTTTCCTCTGCCAGAAGTGGATTCTTGTGAAATTTAGTCACTCTGGTCAAACCTACTCTCCTCATTTTAAATTTGGGAGGATAGGGGCGCCTGGGTGGCGCAGTCGGTTAAGCGTCCGACTTCAGCCAGGTCACGATCTCGTGGTCCGGGAGTTCGAGCCCCGCGTCAGGCTCTGGGCTGATGGCTCAGAGCCTGGAGCCTGTTTCCGATTCTGTGTCTCCCTCTCTCTCTGCCCCTCCCCTGTTCATGCTCTGTCTCTCTCTGTCCCAAAAATAAATAAACGTTGAAAAAAAATTTTTTTAAAAAAAATTAATTTGGGAGGATAGTAATTAGTGGGTTTCACACAGTTTAAAAATATTATATATATATATATATATATGTATTATATCTAACATAGTTTTATTTCTGAGCTCTCCATTCTGTTCCATTGATCAATATGTCTGTTTTTATGCCAATACCATACAGTTTTATTGCTGTAGATTTGTAATATAGTTTGAGATCCAGGATCTCAGCATGATGTCTGCAGCTTTGTTCTCAAAATTGTTTTGGAACCAGTAAATTTTTGAAAAACAGCAATGAGGAAGAACTTACCCTGTAAGATACCAAAATACAATATAAAACCTTACAGTGTGATACTGATACAGAAATAGGTAAATAAATCAATAAGTATAATAGTGACAAGACAGATCTAATTATGTACAGAGTGACATTTAAAATCACCCTGTATTGGGGTGCCTGGGTGGCTTCGTCAGTTGAGCATCTGACTCTTGATTTCAACTCGGATCATGATCTCAGTTCCTGGGATCGAGCCCTGCATCAGGCTCTGCACTGACAGCTCGGAGCCTGTTTGGAATTCTCTCTCTCTCCTGCTCTCTGTCCCTTCCCCCACCCAAATAAGTAAATTTAAAAGAAAACTTAAAAAAATAATAATAAAATAACCCTGTGATGTAATGATCCAAACAGCCACATTTCCAATGTCATTTATTTACCAGTCCATTTCCCTTGCTCTCCACCCCCATTCATCACTTGCTGTTTTCTTGTTACTCTCCAGTTTTCCCTGCACCAGGTTGCTTTTATTTGTTTTTAAAAATATTTTAAATGTTTACTCATTTTTGAGAGGCAGAGAGACAGAGCATGAGCGGGGGAGGGGCAGAGAGAAAGGGAGACACAGAATCCAAAGCAGGCTCCAAGCTCTCAGCTGTCAGCACAGAGCCTGTGCACGGGGCTCAAACTCACGGAGTGTGAGATCATGACCTGAGCCAAAGTCGGAGGCTTAACCAACTGAGAAACCCAGGCGCCCCAGATTACTTTTATAGTTTATCTACCCTTCCACATCCCTGGGATCTTACTTTTTATGGAAGTAAGAAATGTTCCATCATGGCTAGGTTTTGGTTTAATTCTTTTTTAAAAAAAAATCGTTTTAATGTTTATTTATTAGTTTTGAGAGAGAGAGAAAGAGAGAGAGAGAGAGAGAGAGAGAGAGAGAGAGAGAGAGAGAGTGTGTGTGAGCAGGGGAAGGACAGAGAGAGAGGGAGACACAGAATCCAAAGTAGGCTCTATACTCTGAGCTGTCAGCACAGAGCCCCACACGAGGCTGGAACTCACCGACAGAGCCACCCAGGCACCCCAGTTTTGGTTTGATTCTAATGAGGTAATTTTGTTCTGTCCTTAGCAATTTAATCAGTACAATAATTCTCCCATTTGGCCCCAGCTACAGAAGGTATCCCTCACAGTTTGGCAAGGAATTAAAAAAAAGTGTAATGTGATAAATAACAAGCAAATACTCAAGAAATAATTTTCATTTCAAAGATTATGAAACAGAGAATTCCAGAAGTTCTCCTTAAAAGCTATGAAAAGCAAACTGTAGCCAGAGCAGTTTACCTTAGCTAGTGAATCCAACGCAGTAACTTCAGAGCTAGGGTCCATGTTTGTTCTCTCCATCTGTCTGTCCATCTTCAGGTCTAGCCTTTTCTTTCTGATAGTGACTGTCTCTCTGACTGTTTTGTTAACATCCATAGATTAACATGATGAGTATGAATGATTGGCAGTAGACAGACCTACATTTGAATCTTGGTTCTGTCTTCCTGAATGCATGATTTCTGTCTAAGTCCCTGATTTTTCTTTAATCAATTTCCTCTGTAAAATGGGAATAACAATACTACTCACCTGATAGGATTGCTGAGAGACATAATTGATGTGAAGGCATAGGACTTGACATAGAATAAACATACAAGAACTGTTAGCTATTCTTTTATATATTGAAAATATTAATATAATAGAAAACATTTTAATAGTAATAATTTTAGGTTTGGCTAGGACTTTATAGTAATTCATATTTTTAGATACTTTATCATTAATCCATTAGTGCAGTACTCTGTAGTATTTTATCCACATTAGAGGTATTTCAAAGGGGCATTTAGCTGCCTGTTGCTTATACAATGGTGGATACCCTAGGAGGTATATGAAGTACCCTTGCTCATAAACTTTTGGGAGCACTTTCTTATTGTCAGTTTGTGCCCTCTTTATCCTGATAG